CCTCTATGTTAATGTTTTAAAATATCTCTGACAGTCTGTGCTGTTGTATTTGTTGAGCATTCACACTTGCCATTTGTCAGCATACTCAGACACAAATACACACAGACATAAACTAAATAAATAGAGATCAAGTGCATCTTAGGGAGGAAGTACTAAGCTTTCACCCCAAGTCTCATCAAAACAAAATAAAATTCACTGAATATCTGGCACAAGTGAGGAAGGAAGACTCTGCTAACTCAGGTGCCAATAGCCCAGATCACTAGAAGAGATCTCCAACACTAATTTCTTCTGCAAACCTACTAAAATTTCTCTTCCCTCCACCCAGTTCTTTTTCTTTTTTCCTATTACATTCATAAACGATTTTAAGTATCCTTATATGCCTTCCAATTGTGCATGCAGCTCTCTTTCTCTGTCATGCGTAGCTTAATCAAGACTGTCAAGAAAAAAGCTCACCAACCACACATAATAATAAAGGATAAATAAAATGGAAGGTCTATAAGTGTATTTGAAGGGTAGGCCACTCATAATGAGTACAAGGATATTGTTAGGTTATGCAGGGAGATAATTAGAAGGTCCAAAGCCCAACTAGAAATTAATCTGGCTTTGAAAGTAAAGGACAGCAAGAAAAGCTTTTATAAATACATTAATACTGAAAGAAAGACCAGGGAGAGCCTCCATCCGCTGCTAGACCCAGGAGGAAATATAGCAACAAAAGATGAGGATAAGGCTGAGGTGCTTAATGGCTTCTTTGCTTCAGTCTTTAGTAATAGGAACACCTGTACCGAGGGAACCCAGCCTGGCAAGCAAAGAGACAGGGGGGCCAGGAGCAAAATGTCCCCCCCTCCAGTTCAGGAGGAGATGGTGTCAGGGACCTGCTGCTCCACATCGATGCGCACAAATCTGTGGGGCTGGATGGGGTTCATCCTAGAGTGCTGAGAGAACTGGCAGGGGGGCTCACCAAGCCAATGTCCATCATTTATCAGCAGCCCTCACTGACTGGGGAGGTCTCAGCTGATTCCAGTCAATATAACACCCACCTACAAGAAGGAACAGAGGGATGATCCAGGGAATTACAGGCCTGTCAGTTTGACTTCAGTGCCAGGGAAGCTGATGGAGCAGATCATCCTGAGTTCCGTTACGCAGCACATGCAGGACAACCAGGTGATCAGGCCCAGTCAGCATGGATTTATGAAGGGCAGGTCCTGTTTAACAAACCTGATCTCCTTCTATGACTGCGTGACCCTCTTGCTGGATGAACAAAAGGCTGTGGATATTGTCTACCCTGACTTCAGTAAGGCATTTGACACTGTTGCCCACAGCATTCTCCTAGAGAAACTGACTGCTCTTGGCTTGGACGGGCATACGCTTTGCTGGGTAAAAGAATAGTTAGATGGCCAAGTCCAAAGAGTTGTGATCAATGGAGTTAAATCCAGTTGGCAACCGGTCATGAGTGGTGTCCCCCAGGGCTCAGTACTGGGCCCAGTCCTGTTTAACGTTTTCATCAATGATTTGGACAAGCAGATAGAGTGCACCCTCAGTAAGTTTGCAGATGACAGCAAGCTGGGTGGAAGTGTCGATCTGCTTGAGGGTAAGGAGGCTCTCCAGAGGGATCTGGATAGGCTGGATCTCTGGGCCAAGGCCAGTCACATGAGTTTCAATAAGGCCAAGTGCCGGGTCCTGCACTTTGGCCACAACAACCCCCAGCAGCGCTACAGGTGGTTGAGTCACCATCCCTGGAGATGTTTAAGAGATGGGTAGATGTTGCTTTGAGGGTCATGGTTTAGTGGTGTTGACAGGGGCAGGAAAAGGTTGGACTCAACATTCTTGAAGGTCTCTTCCAGCTGAAAATGTTCTATGATTCTATGGATGTTCTTTATACAGGATCTGGGCATTCTAATCCCTCCTATCTCTCTTTAGCTACTTAAACATGAGAAGAGCGTTCCAACTCACAGATATACACACTTTTGTTGACATTCTGACATCCAAGCTCTACAAGTCTGCCATTGGTATGTCTGCATTTCCATTAGGCTCAGTGACTTATTGACTGATTCTTCTTTGCAATACAAACTTTGCTGTGCAACCATAATACAAACTTTTTTGCCTTTCTGCTGAGCCTTGCCAGAACTACATTACTTCCTGGAGGCTAGAACAGCTCTACAAGCTGCTGAAGTCCAGTGGCACTTGAAGCTATTGCCAGAATAACAGACTCTCACTTTTTCATCCTAGAAACTGCTACGAAAAAGGCATGTGCATGCTTACACATGTCCAAACTCAGACTGCACACACATACATGTACAGACAGATACCACTATTGTCTCTATCCAGCTTTTATTAGTTAAAGATACTGGGAAAGATGGACAGAATAGAGAAGACAAGCCCAGAACGGACAATTCTTACCATGTGCCACCCAGCCATGTTTACACTGATCACAGGTTCTCAGGTTAATCTTCCCTGGCTGAAAACATTCACATGTGCAATTTACCAATGTACAGCGGATAGCCTGGAAAAAGAAACAGAAAACACATATTAATGTTTTCATCCTTCTTGTGCAAATTTGTTGTTAGAGTAAGCAGGGTATTAAATGTATAGTGAAAAAATAGTCTTCTAACATTCAAAGCATTGCTCGTTCTTTTAAATTGAGATTATTTTTCTTTCAAAAACATATATCAGTATTCGTGAACAATGACAATGAAAATACTTATTCAATAATAACATAGTCTGTTGTCCCACAGAGATGAATACATTCCTTAGGTCTTTAAAAGAATTGCTATATTTCCTTTAGGAAGAAAATAAAATGAAAAATAAAGTGGTAGGATGAAGATTCTGTAGGTGTTCCACAAATTTCCTTGGTTTGCATCAACTGCTAGAAGGAAAAAGTTACTAGTGATATCTTACCACAGCAGCATATCAGCTTAATTAAAACCAAGAGTAAAATAAGGATACAAAACCATAAACAAAGTATACCCACAGATCGCTTTCCTCTTGTCCCATGGTATCCAAAGGTTATTCTTAAGTATTCGTTCTGGGGTTTACATAAAATATAACCCTGCTACAGAAAGAAGTCATGGATTTGATATGTTTCTACAATAGGATAAAATGATCAAGACATGAGAACAGGACTGGTTTATAAAACATTCTGCAACTTTCCTTTGCATCTATCATTTCTCCAACATCTAGGCGCAGCCTTTTACCTCTTAGCACTCCCTATTTTTCAAACACATATTTCTCTGTTTTGCAAAAGATGAAACTATTTCAAAGCAGCAACGCTAAGACTTAAGTCCCATGCAGAGATCTAAACTTTGCTTAGATAATATACCTTATTAATATCTCCCTTTTAAAAGTTATTTCAAAAATTACACAGGTTTACTTTGACAGGGGCTAGCTACATCCACAGAAAAGTGAACATAAATTGAATGAGACTCTTTTTAATGTGCAACAGACATATGTTTTTTAATAGTGTAGAAGATGACCTGTGCACTACAAACTGCTACTAATAAATTTATGGCATGCATTTAGATGTAATTTGCATGGAGATTTCTGAGACAGAGAGGCTCATTCTGATCATTCACAGATTAACAATCTACTGTAACTACCAGAGCTGCCAGGAAAAGATATCTCTATAGATTTAGATGCAATCAATGATTACTTGGGGGCTAAGGTGGGGGAAGTGTGCTTGGTACCTGTGACAACTGAGATACTGAAGCGTAATGAAGGCTCTTGCCTTTTCCAAACAATTAAAACAGACACATACTCTTTCCATACCAGAAGAGAATTATTTTAACTACACTGACTTAAAGCAAATTACAATCAACTTTAGGTTGGCCAAGTCAAACTCCTTGGCTGCTGACAATTAAAAAGGGTCAGAGTTTTTACTTATTCATCTGCATCAGACAGCTATTTAAAGCCATTCATAGCTTACAGATCCATTTAAAATCTGTAGTTCTCTGACAAATTCCTGGTACAAAAGTCCTTTCTCCTTCCTATCCTATCTGCTCCTTTATCATCTTTTACTCTCAGAAACCTAGTGGAGAAGAAACATATGCTGCTCTATTGCACCTCACATTTTGAGGCCTCAGTCCCAATTACAATCTCTCCAATTACTCATTAGCTCGGTTATAAAACACTGCTGTATATATGCAAGATTAAAAGAATTAGTAATGTGAAATATAGGGGTACCAAAGAAGTGCTGAGTATGCAAGAATAATACACGTATTTGTGGGTTATGAAAAAAAAATTTCTCCTGAAAGGTCCTGTTTCGTGTTCAATAGTTTATTGACTCAGTAATATATCAGGTCTCCACTGGTCAGTAATG